GATCAAAGGAAGCGTACGTGATAAAAAAGGAAAAAAACCGCAACCGACCTATATCATCAGACCAACGTCGAGGAATCCTCTCGAAGTCGAAATCACCCATTGTTGAATGATCGACCTTGAAATCAAAGAACTTCTCTAGCCAATTCTTGTCGCGTAACGGAACTCCCTGGATGTGGCGTCCTACACAAGGAGACATGAGAAAAGTCCCTGAGCTTTGATTGTTCCTCTTCAACAAGCACAAGTGACAAAGCTCCTCCATACCAAAGCGCAAGCCCTCCTCACGAGCTCTGACCGTGAGTGCCAAAAGGTGCCTCAAGAAATTTGGGCACATCTGAGTAAGACACATACCCAATTCATCTGTGATCTCGAGAATCAGGGCAAGAATCAGAAAGAATTGGCCACAATATTTGAAGAACGTGTAATACGCTCCGCAAAACCCCTCACGAACAGTCTCAGGGGTTCGAGCGTAGTGGCCAAATCGATCTGAACGTTATGATCGACGTCATGAACTGAATATAAAGCTTCAAGATCTTTGAATTTAGTCGTCGGGAGAGGAAAAGTGAATGTTACATCCATCTTTACTCAAAGAAAGAAAATCGCACAAGCAAGAAATTTCGGAGAGAAAGAAAAGAAGTTAGGAGAAATATAAGAGACTCTTGTATTTATAAGGAAATTCGCCGACACCAAGAAACGGCTCTATCATTAACGAGGAGATAATGATTAGGTTTTGCATCAAAAACGGCACAAGTAGCCGTTAGAGACACACGCCAACGGTCCATCGACAAGGAGCAGACGCGTGTCGAATTTCTGCGCCGCGGAAGCTAAATCACCTCCTTCCAATTGAGGAGGAAAGAACTATAAAAGGAAAGCTAGAGTGAAGTTCGCGAGATACGAAAAAAACCGTAGAGCTATTCACTAACCACAACGACCTTATTCTTTAGATTTCTAGTTCGCTTTCTTGTACTCTTTGTTGTTATTTCCGATCTTGTTGATCACTTTGTAAATGAATTCCATATTCAATAAAATACTATTTTTGTCAACCGAAGTCTGATTATATCGTTGTGTTTAAGAGCATCGTTTCCCACATCCTTTATCTTCCCCTGATTGAACTCTCGATCTCTACGAAATACTAAGTGTGGATTTTAGGATCTACACCTATCAGATCTCAGGTTTGGGTCGGGTCGGATGTAAGATCCGAGGGTCCTCCACAAGAAGACCCATTAGGGTAAAATGATCGGTCCAGTTAGTACCCGAATCACACTTTTTGGGTTAGTTTTGGGTCGCGTTTTCTGGTCCAGGTAAAATGTCTAGACCTACTAAGAAATTTATGTTCATTTAAAAATTTAAATGATTTGATACATATTATTATGAAATATATTTCTGGCTTTTCACAAAAATTATGAGCTTCCAAAACACACTCCAAATCTTACAATCACTAGTGTTGGGCATTTTCCAAATCTTAGAATCACTAGTGTTGGACCTAAATCTAATATCAAGGTTGAAATATAACAAGATGTGCTACGAAGTATTTGGATAGGCCTAGTTACGATCAATAGTGGATCTAGGAGAACTTTTAGTTGGCGGCACAACTACATATTGTATTACTATACGAAGGTGAAGCAATTATGGAAAGAGTTGAAGAATCATGAGAGTCCTTCTACTTATTGCTGTGGACATCGTGAATGTGATAATCTCAAAAGGATTGTTGAGAAAGATGAGCAAGATCGTATCTTGAAGTTTCTTACGGGTCTTAATGACACCTTTACTGCAACAAGGGGTCAGATTTTGATGATGGAGCCAAAGCCTAACATCTCTAAGGTGTTTAATCTTGTTTCTCAGGAAGAAAGACAACGGTCGATGAAAAGTACAAGTGCTGTTGCTTTCAATGTATCTCAAAACACTCCTGATGAAGGTTATGTTGCTGCTTACACTGGTCGTTATAACAAGAATATGCCTCGTCCTATTTTTTCTCATTGTGGCTTAGCTGGTCATACTGTGAATCGGTGTTACAAACTTCATGGCTATCCGCAGGGATATAGACCTCCTGGCTCCAACACAAAGTCACAATCTCAGGCTCCAACTTCAGGCTCTCAGTCACAACCTCAGGTTCAAGCTTGAGGCTCTCAGAAGTCTACTAACAATTGGCCACCTCGCAAGGAGAATGTTGCAAATATGGTTCTTCAAGATACTGATAGTATATATGTGCATGATCAACAGGGTACTCACTTGGGAACAGTTACATCGGAACAAGTTCACCAACTTCTAAATGTCTTGAGCATTCAAACTGCTCCTCTTAATGTACAGTTGGTGAGAGGTTGCATAATGGTTTTCTCAAGACTCTTCATGTATGTTTTGAGCTTCAACTTGCAGACATACTAACGAAAGCAGTTTAACCTTCTCTCTTCAAGAGTTTGATCTGCAAGATTGGCATCCCCAGCTTGTGTCTTCCATCTTGAGGAGAGGTATTAGATTATTGATCTTGGTTCGTATTAGTTTAGGTTTCCTTTTACCTTACCAACGGTTTAGCTTTCATTTACTAAACCGGTCATGTATATATATCTCTGTACATACACATTTATAACTACTAGAGCAATATACTTCTTTTGTTTTCCGTAACAAACTCTTGAGCTCAAGCATTCTATTACTACAAACTTTTAAACTAGATGGAGGCATTATCGTAAGATTTGAAGCTTTGAACTAATTACTTCAAAAAAATTCAAGATTTGAACCGAATGCTTAAACAAAATAAAAAATTAGTTGGAGGCACGTGACCCCATACGCTGTAAGCTACTTCAGCCCAGGGGCGGACGCAGGAAGGCCATGGGTGTGGCAAGTGCCCCACACAAAATATTTGTTTTCCTTTAATAAGTAACATAAATTTATGTAGATGCCCTTGATCTATTTTTGTTTTACACTACATGCCCCATGCTAAATAAATGGCTAGATCCGCCCCTGCTTCCGCCCCTGTATAAATACGATTTTCCAAGAGAACGTTAGATGTTAAGGAAAGATGGTAGTCCTCGAAGTCGAGTGGAGAGTGGCAAATAATCCCCAAGTCGATGCTAAGACAAGACTCAGTCTCGAGGCTACTAGAAGTTCTGAGATCCACAGGATTAGGTAGGAAGATCGAGGCAGGAATGTAGGGATATTTCAATCACAAACACGGATACAAAAGGAAAAGGAGGGCAAGAGAAGATGGACGTTCAACAATACACATACACGTTGACCATCGAGCTCTCCTAAGGACATCGACCTCTCTTTTTTCATCTCCCTTTTGTCTAATCTTTATTCTTATTTCTATTATTAATCTTGTAACTCAATGACAACAATATTTATTCATTTTTGACATGTCATAAATGATTACATCGTTGTTGTTCTTTGTAAGTTGTACCCTAATTCTTTGTTCTTCTACTTGACAAAACAAATGCCTTTATATATTTGGTGAGAATTTTAGGATCTAGGACTAGTTATCAAATTGGCCCTCAAAAGATTGTTGAGGAATGCATAAACTTTAAATAAAACAAACTCACGTTTTTGCTGACAGTTTGACCACGATTATAAGAATAAAATCCCTTACAACTAAATAAATTAAAATAAGAGAAAATGACTAAAATAACACTAAAAATGTTTTTATCACAAATATAGCACTTAAGAATAAAAATGATCAAAATCTTATAAAACAGAAGTCATGACTTCACTTTATGTGTGATATTTCAAAAAATGGACCATTCCTATAAAGTTATTTAAATTATATTATGTATAAACATATGAATTATTTGAATTATTCTAGAACAAAAAAAACAAATATATATTCCTATATTTTCTCTGAAATTATATATGAATTAAATCTCTTCATATCTTTTTATTTACAATGTAAATCTATATATTTCATTTTTCATTAAAATAAACTTATAAATTATTAATTAATTTGTATTTATTTAAGATAAAAGTATATTTCATTTTTTACTTAGTTTCTTAAAAAATATTTAGTTAATTTTGTGATTATTTAAAAATTAAACCTATATTTTACTTTAACTAAAATAAAAATTTAAATATCAAATTAATTTTAATTATAAATAAAATAATGTACATTTATGTATTAAATTTTTCATACTAATATATAATACTTTTCAATTAAAATTTTTTTTTTATTTTTAACCTATAATATTTTCAATTTAAAATTTTGTATCACATGATTTATAATATATTATCACTGAAAATTTAAAAAAATAAAAAATAAAATTATTGCATGTGGTCTATAAAATTATTATGTTTTAATAAATATAGATTAAACAATTAATAATATGGTAAATATTATAATTAATCATGTAAAACAAATAATTATATCTGTAAAAATAAAAATAATCACCCTCACGGTTGTGCGGGTCAAAATCTAGTAATACTTAATGTTTTATCAAAAGAGCTCAATAATAAATTAATTTAGACATTATAGTTTAGGGTTAAGGGGTGGAATTTAGGGTTTAGGGTTTAGAGTTTAGGGTTTAGAATTTAGGTTTTAGGGTTTAGAGTTGGGGAGTAGAGTTTTGGGGATAAGATTTTAATTTTTGAAAAATAAAAAAATTTTAAAATTTTCAAAAGATAAAATATTATTTTGATCATTTTAGTTTTTGAGAGTTATTTTTGTGACATAAACTTAGAAAGGTGTTATTTTAGAGATTTGCAACTTGAAAATTTATTTTAGAGCCTCAAGATAGTTTTTTTTAAAAGAGTCTTCTCTGCCGCTTTGATGAGGAAGTTTCGTGAGTAAGACACACATAGTTGTATATATAAAAGAGTGATCCTTCAACGATGATCATGATTAATGACTTTAGTTTTATTTTATTGTTGTAACAATTTAAGAGACTTTATAAGATTCTATGGTTTATTCAAAGGACATGATTGTCTCTGAAACTTGGAGCACGAATGTGGCGGCTTATTCGACTTCAAGATGTAAGAAAAGAGAGTATCTGCCATAATTTCTTCTCTTTGGGTTCGAGTTTATTGATCAGGTAGGTCAAATATTTTATTCTTTTCCAGTTTTTTTTAGAGATTTTATATATTTACTCTTGATGGGTTTCTGGTAAAGTCAAAATTTTATATGCTCAAATCATACGTTTCGTGTTTTGATCATTTCCTCATAACACCAAATCATCTTCAATGGGTCCATGTCACTCTCTGTTTGAAATCACGATTATGTCAAAAGCTTCATATTTCTTTTATTCAGCATATGTGTCTCCTTTTGGTTTGGCTCTAGGATCTTGATTTGATTGGAGGAAAAAATAAGCCAAATTTACTAGAACTGTTGCAGATCATCTTTCCCAGAGCTGACCCTGACATTATATAGGATCGAAGCAGCTCTTAAAGAAAAGGCTAAATGTTTTTATTCAAAAAGTCGGCTGGGGAACCCAAGGCGGTGCTTGACCAGAAGACCGGCTCTGATGTTGCGTCTCCTTCTCGGTCGCTGACCATTGCGGTAGCTCTCAGTGGGAGCACCAAAAGCAAAAAAATACTTAAATGGGCGCTCAAAAAGTTTGCTTCTGACAAAAACGTCGTCTTCAAGTTGATTCATGTCCTTCCAAAGATTACTTCTGTACCTACACCTTGTAAGTTCCAACAAAAATATATTCTCTGTAACTTCTGTACCTACACTTTATTATGTGTGACTATTTCATAGCCTTATACCGGTATATGTCTCCTTCCTAAGCGGGACGCATAGTCTCTATCTCTGAGGTACCAAAAGATGTGGCGGCTACTTATAGGCGACAAGCGATGGATGAGACTAAAGAAACTCTTCTGAAACCTTACAAGAAGATGTGCGAGCGGAAGAAGGTTTTGCTTTTTCTCTTGTCTTTCTTGGTTTCCCTTTATCCTATAGCTAATGATTGTTTTTTAATCTTTACATAGGTTGCTGTAGAACTTCAAGTGCTTGAATCAAATAGTGTTGCAGTGGCGATAACCAGAGAGGTTGATAAGCATGCGATCAGTAGACTTGTCATCGGACGCTCATCTGATATTGTTGACTTCTACGGGTAAGGCTTGAAACATCATTCTGTTTATTGATTTGATTATTTGATTGAAGAATTTTTTTTTCTCAATGAGTTTATGCGTTTAGCCAATTCCAGGGATCAAGATATTACGGCAAAGATATCTACCTATGTGTCAAACCTTTGCACTGTCTATGTTGTCTCACAAGGAGTCTACATTCTCTCCAAAGAGAAAGAGAAATCATCCACAGACACGGAGATGGAGATGAATGAAACTATAACAGACTCTGATAGTCAGATAACAGATTCCTCTAGCTGTTCTTCTGGTTCAGGTTTGAAGCTTTAATCAAAATTTTTAACCAGAAACTAGTGTATGATTCATGATATTCTAATTTCCTCTTTTGTACATTTTTTAGATGCAATGTCAAATGCACTGAAAGCCAAATCTCTTGCTATGTCCGGCAAGAGATTGCAACATCTCCCGACAATAGTAAGAGGGGTCTCTGTTCGTACGGAAACTAGTTCTGTTGACTCATACGGAAGTACAAGTACGTCTTCGGGTGCTGCAGAAAAAGCAAGCAGGAGAAGTAGCCATGAAACACCGCGTACTATTTCTTCGAATTCTTATTTAAGAGATTTTGATGAGAGAAAAGGCGGTACAAGTTCTATATCTAGCATCCGTGAATATGATAATGATACTCAAGGTGAAGATTATTTCACAGACAACCAGGTACATAAGAAATTTTCTTATACCTATTTTGAACTCGAAAGCATTTGGAAATGAGAGATGTTTTCGTTGATTTTAGGAGACGTTCGAAGAAATAAAAAAGTTGAGGGATGAACTTAGACAAGCTCAAGAAATGTATGCATTGGCTCAAGTAGAAACCTTGGATGCTTCTCTCAAGGTCTCGGCTTCTATAAAAACTTGGATTTGAATTTGATGAAGCTTCTTAGTTATTAGTTTGTGTGTCTAATAAATCTGCCCTTTATATGGATTCAGCTGAATCAGCTTGAGTTGGACGAGTTAACGCTAAAGGAGCAGGGAACAAAGGGCTTAGCAGAAAAGAAAGCACAAACGTTTGAGAAGAAGAAAAGGGAAGACAAAGAGGCCGCACAGAGAAGACAAGCCGAGATAAAAGCCAAAGCAAAAGAGAAGGAGAAGGTTGGGGAAAGATCCCCTGTGGCTCCTAAGCTGCAATACCAAGAGTTCACTTGGGAAGAAATCAAAACGGCAACTTCATCATTCTCTGAAGATTTAAAGATTGGAAAGGGAGCTTATGGAGCTGTTTACAAATGCAATCTCCGTCATACAATCGCTGCTGTCAAAGTTTTGCATTCCCCGGAGAGTAATCTATCCAAACAATTCGATCAAGAGGTTCGAACGTAGCCAGCCTAAGCGTTTTTCTTGATTGAAGTTTCTCCTTTCTTTTCAGAGAAACTTGATATATATATATTCTTTTATTATTCTCTCTTAGATTGAAATCTTGAGCAAGATCAGGCATCCACACTTGGTTCTCCTTCTAGGCGCCTGTCCAGAGCAAGGCGCTCTAGTCTATGAGTACATGGAAAATGGTAGCTTGGAAGATAGACTATTCCAAGTCAACAATACTCTACCAATTCCGTGGTTCGTCAGGTTCAGGATAGCTTGGGAAGTCGCATCAGCGCTCATTTTCCTCCACAAATCAAAACCGACACCAATCATCCACCGTGATCTCAAACCAGCCAACATCTTGCTTGACCAAAACTTTGTCAGCAAAGTAGGAGACGTGGGCATCTCCACAATGATCCAAGTCGACCCTTTATTAACACAATTCACAATGTACAAACAGACAAGCCCCGTGGGAACATTATGCTATATTGATCCCGAGTATCAACGAACCGGGAGGTTATCTTTCAAATCAGATCTCTACGCGTTTGGAATGATCATTCTGCAGCTTCTTACCGCTCTACCGGCTATAGCCCTGACGTATAAAGTAGAAACAGCAATGGAGAACGATGACGAGTTGATACAGATTCTTGATAAAAAAGCTGGTGACTGGCCAATGGAAGAAACCCGTAAATTAGCAGCTTTGGCCCTCTCTTGTACAGAGATCCGTGCTAAAGACAGGCCTGATCTTGAAACTCAGATTCTACCAGCATTGGAGCGCTTTAAGAATGTAGCTGAAAGAGCAAAAAACTTGATTTCCTCTGCGCCAAAGCAACCTCCAAGCCATTTCCTCTGCCCATTACTAAAGGTAATAATAACTTCTTCTTTACGTATGTTACCTAGGTCTTGCGAGAGGAGTTAGGTTATCTTAGCGAAGAATGTTGTTACGTTTGCAGGATGTGATGAGTGAACCATGTGTTGCTGCTGATGGTTATACCTATGACCGGCGAGCCATAGAAGAATGGATGGCAGACCACCGTACCTCCCCGGTGACTAATTTGCCGTTACAAAACATGAACCTTTTGCCCAATCACAGTGTTTATGCAGCCATTGTCGAATGGAGAGGTAACCTTCAGTAAGGCAAGCAAACATTTAAGTCTTTGACTTTATTCAAAGCTAAAGAAGATAAGAGTAAGACTGAAGAACAATCTTTTGGCAAGAGTGTGGACAACACGCGGTGGAGAAATAAGAAATTTGTTACTGGTTGTTACCAATTACAATTATAGTTGTATATATATGGTGAGCCTGAGTCTTGGTCTTCGGTGTGAGGTTACACTGTATTTTATGGGTGCGAGATATATGGATGATTTTGACCAAGAAAAAAAAAATACATGGATAATAATCTTAGATGCGTTTTTACTTTATCACTAATTAATTATAATATTACAAACTATGAAAACAATTTATAGACGACATTTCATTGGACAATTCTATCTATATTATGAAAAATTCATATCTAACTGTTGAATTTAATCTTGACGTTACTTTTTTTGTCATGTTAAAAATTTCATATAACCTTTTTCTAATATTCTATATAATTCATCTTTTCCAAAAACTAAAACTCATACTTTCTTACATAAAAGCATTAACGAATACTAGATCAAACCATTACACTTCCTTTTCCAGGAACCTGATATGTTCTAGTGATTAACATTTTAATCTCAATATTCCCACTATCTTTCTCTTTTTTTTTTTCACTTCCATCATTAACCTTTCCTTTTATCTTTTTCTTTTATTAAAAAAATTATGTGTTTGCTTCTGATCCTTTCTTTTTTTATCTTTTATTTGAATAATTATACATCTTAGTATCACATCATTTATTCCTGCTATCAATTATTTTTTTCGGTGCTTTTCTTTGTTTTTCGGAAATAATTTTATTTTTAATTACTTATGACTTAATATGCTACTAAATTACGGGACTTTTTTTTGGACTCTAGTTTTCCCATTTTTTTCAAAAAATAATCTTATAACAATAAAGTTACAGAATAAATCATTTCAATAACATTTTAATCATAATTAATTTAAAAATACATTTTTGAAATATTTGTATATTTTCCCAAGTTAAAATTGTTTATCTCACTTACATAAAATATATACAACTTAAATAATATATTTCTGTTATTTTACTATTATATATTTATATTGAATTAAAATTTTATATAATTTATAAAATAATATTTCTTCCCATTCAAAAAGTATTATTTAACGCTTTTTAATAGTACATAAAAGTGTCCCTATAATTACATGTAATGTATGTACATTTTAAATTTAATATTATTTACAAAAATTATTTTTTTATCTTATAAATATTGATTAAATATATGTCTTTATTAAGAATATAATGCATTTTAATCATTTTGTTACTCTGTATCAAAAGTGTAAAGTAACACTCTTCTTGAAAGGAAGAGATTATATATTATTCATATAAATTTGAAGATTTCATATTATATTTAAAATATTTTTTTTGTTTATTAAGTTGTAAAAATTGTTTTCTAAATTTTGTTGATCTGATTACTATTTAGTAGTTTGAGACTATGATTGAGCAAGGTAAATTCATTAGATCCTTTTCTTTTTTTTTTTTTTTTTTTTTT